TGATCCGCCAATGCGACAACGTTAACTGTTTGCGCAGACAATATTTGCGGTGGCGGGAAACTTTCGCTAAAACCGAATATATATTAAAAAATTCACGTGAAAAATATTTTGTCACAAATATTCGAGTTCCTAAAATTCACAATTATTTGCATAAATTTCTGTTTAATATAGTTATAAAGGAAATTTAAAATAAATAGCATAGATTTATTAGATAATGAATGAAGGCTGAAGAATTTCCTTAAGAATTTTACCAACAGGTTTAGCTAGTAGTATTTAAGGTAACAAATGGGATAATTAGAAATCTGTAGTACTAGTAAAAGTAAAGGCTTTTAAGAATATAGATTTGCTTGTGCTTCATAAGATATCCAATACAATTTATCTTTAAAATTTTTTTAGTTTGATATACGATTCATTATCATTTTTTAAACCTCACTACATGAAATATGTATCAACTAGTTTCTACAGCCAAGCGGTTTCAAAACCAATTTTACTTGTATTTTAAAAATCAAAATTTCTAATGCATATCGTAAAGTCAATACTCTTAAAAAACATTCTGGAGACTCTATTGTGGATTATATGCATTCAGAAAATTGATTTCTCAGACTTTTTAAAATGTATTTCTATTTGTTAAAATAAAAGAACTTCCCTTCTTTCCTTTCTTATTTTGTTGATGGTGGCATTGAAAAAGTGTTTTGCATCTCCTTTAGCACGTAGAGATTTTAAAATCGTGTAAATAACGATGTCGAGTTATTCATGTTGTTGCCTGCGTGCGGGTTCATTACGGATTGAATGTACACAGAACTGATGATAGCTTAAAAGAATTTATTTTCCGAAAACAAACACTTTACAGTTCTAGAACTTTCCACAAAAGTGCTCGTGAAGCTCTTCTCAGTATAACAGAGCATAATCAATAGTTACTACTTCAAACTACTCAGAATGTTAAGTACAACGCAATGCAAAGCGCATTTAAAGAGCATAGAGATCTCTCAGTACACTTAAGTCTACTTACTCTAAACTAAAAATGAGAACCGATGATTTCTTCAGTCTTATATATTTTTTCCACGGCCGCCGGCTAATTTCAAATGCCTCCAATTTCTCGAAATGACTGAAAGACATATGCAGTTAAAGTTATATATAAGAGGCGTTTGCTGTTACAGTTCAATATAGGGATCAGTTACAGTACCAATCACTATACAGGGATCGGACCAAATGTTTGCCGAATTCGGCGACTTCTGATATTTTTTTCCAAATTTGGCGACACAAATTAGTAGCCAAAACCCTGTCTAGCTTGGCGATATCTCACCAGTTTAGGGAGATAGTCATTTACCTCAATGTTAAATAGACTTGCCTCTGTAACCTTATTTTCCCAGCAGAGCTTCACTCTCTTCAAATTTTTCATGTTACATTATACAAAATTTATAAGAATGTAGTATCATGGATGTAAATAAATATATTAAATAAAAGAAAATACAAGTAATAATCAAATTATGAAAGCATAACCAAAACTATAGCATTATTCAGGAAGTATTTTTGACATCATAATGGAAAATGTACGATTGATGAAGATAATACTGTTCTCTTAAAATTTAGTTCTTTAATTGCTATTAAATACATCAAAGAAAAGTTTTACAAGATATCCCTACTTTAGCAAAATATTTGTTGCAAAGCTAGTGCGCAGGCGATCTAGAGAAGCAAAGACGCAGATATGTCTAGAATTTGTTAAAATTAAACAGGTGCACAAACCTCCATGTGGCGTTAATTCACAGTGAAATAATATTATGACAAATATTTTAATAGCATTTGGTTTTGAACAGTTTATTTTAAACATACGATTTTTATTTCATTCTTCAGGACTAATTTTAAAATTAATGAAGCGTATTATAATTGCTCAGCTTAGAACTGTTTCAGGCGTTAAACTGAAACGTACATATCAAGATCAGATTGTAATTTCTTTTCGATCATGTCATAAAATTTATGTCAGTCTCATTTTTCTTTTCCAGTCTGTTTTGTCACCACGTCTAATATGATTTGATGCGTTTCACTTCATTTAATCTTTATCTGTGATTTTGCTTACTATTTACAATTCGTTTATATGAAACACCTTAACCATCTGTGGTTTATCGGCTTCTTTTCTTAGTTTATTATTTTGATTTTGTTAAGCAAAAATGTAAACTTTGTGCAGCTTTTTCTTTTGTAATTCTTGAATATAGACACTTTTCATTTTTAAGAGTCAAATTAATTCTACCTTTCTCAATAAAGAAGTTAACACTAACCGATAAGTAGCTCAGTGGGAGGAACTTTAAATATTATTATTATCTCTATAAGCAAGTTTCTTAGGCAAGTCAGGTCATGCAATATTGAATAAATATTAAAATCACTTTTAGGGCATTTGAAGATTTATTTTAGATAGAACTATGAAATAAAGTAGTTGTAAGTCGGTCGCTATTTCGAAGTTTTTCCGATCATAATTATTTATTAACTTTCCTCAACTAAAGAAAGGAAAGGTTTCATTATTATTTCAGTTCAAAGGCATTAAATCTTAAGAAACAATTATAAATATAATATCACTGAGTATCCCAATCATTATCATTAATTATAAACTTAATGTTGTTAAATGATATTAGATAACTGTATATCAAATTATATTAAACACGTAATTATTAAACAATGCCATTTAATATATAATTATTAGATGAGCTATCATCATATTATAAAACTTATCCAGTCTGAATATCAAAAGGAGTCTTTGACATCATACATTGAATAGCAAAATATAATTTTATATTATGAAAAGCCTTTTATGTATATGACGATATAAAGAGATTTTATATAATTACTTAATATTTTCGAAAAGAAGACCGCTCTTTGTTTTCGCTTCTAGTGTATGTTCGTATCATATTAGTAAACATTTTGCATTTATGTTTGTATAATTTTTGCTATTTGGAACCTCGGACTACGAACGACTCTCGTCACAAGCAATTCGGTTCACAAATAAATTATAAAATAAATAAATGAACAAATAAAGTCTCGGTGAAAAATGGTGTTCTCGAGTTATGAACACTAAATTCGGCAATAGACGATTTTCAAAGGTGTTTTGAGGTAACCTATGCCATACAAATAACATTCGGGACTCCCAGAAACATCTCATCATTCTAATACTTCCCTTTGCCCTATAGAGTCTACTAGACATCTCAAAGCAGAAAATAAGAAAAATCAGCAGTGCCCTTGCCGGAATTCGAAATTCAGAGCTTCCGATTACTAGCCGGACTTGCTTTCCAATCACAACAGGCCTGTGCTAGGGAAGGAGAAGATTACATCTTAACTCTCATTATCTTAAAGTCTAGTATCGAGCGACTTGAAGGATCATGATTTCGACCTGGACGAAGTTATGGCAATTTAGTGTTGCAGGAGAGATTTTGAAGACAATTAGAGTTTTTTTTTTGTTTTGTTTTTTTTGTTTTGTTCTCTGTGCCTCTAGGCATGAGCTTGAAAGTTAACAATGAATATGTAAAAGAGCTATTAGAAGACCATAAAAATCCGTTCAGATAGAAAAAACTACAGCAATTTCAGAAGCAGTAGCAATAGGGGATTGTGAAGGAAATGTTTTCAGAAGGAGAGGAATGAAGAAAAAATGATCCCAGTCCTTTCGAACAGAGCATTTTATGCAAAATAGAACAAGGAACACAACATGCATATAACGATATTACCCTAATAAAGCAGTAAAGAACTACAGAATTAGCAGTTTCAATGACAATGCTGGGTTTCTGTAAGGTTTATACTTTTTAACCCATTATTTCATTACTATTTTTGTCTTTACTATTGATTCTAATTTATTTGACTCTCACCAGGATGCAAATTAGTTACTTGAGTTCTTGAAAGTTAAAGAGAGAGCTTTGATTTTTTATATATATTTAAGCTTTTTTTATCATTGGCACCAACTTTTGTAATATATATATGTAAGTAAGTATTTTAGACCGGCGTTAGGTTTTTGCTAAACGAGTTTGCTCGTGCTTTAGAATCCTGAGTCAAAGCTTGATAGAAATTGATTTTATGAATTCAAGCGTTTAGCTTTTTAATTTTATCGAGTAGCTAAAACTGAATTGTAAGCACGAGCTGTGCCTTCTTAAAACGAAACTTCATTAAAAAAATAAATAAATAAAGATTTGCTTGAGTCTTCTTTTTCACAACTGCGTTGATCAGATAGGGCGACCAAATGTCACCTGAGAGTCTCACACGGAACTTAGTTAAGCAAGCAGTTGTTTTTCGTGTATCTTACTTTAGAAACATTTTTAAACGTCGACAACAACAAAGTTCTTAGGATAGATTTTTATCGAAATATGAATGAGTCTAAAGCAGAGACGAGTGGCTCTAAGAGACAAAGGAAAGATGAAAAAATATGCTCTAGGAAAGAGAGTTACTTGACATTGTTATGAGAAGAGATTTCTTATTGAAACAACATCTCTTCCTCATCACTTTCCACTTATGCAGTTCACTTCCTATGTAACAAGTATAGTAATATTAAATTAAGTTTTCGTCTGTTTTATATGCTCCATATTGTATTTATTTTTTGTGGGGGGGGAGGGGTTGCCGCAAATTTAAGGATTTCCATTAGTTTTGCGTTGTGCCCTTTTTATACGAAGTATTTATTATTTTAAAGTATTATGCACTTTTATATAAAGTACTGTTTCAAAGTTTAGATAAGTAATCAGTTGTAGTTCAAGAACGAATCAATCCATTTAAAATTAATTGCTATTGTCAAAATAATTTCAGCTTAGAAACTTTTCGGCTGATTGAACGGCTTTCCGGAGAAAATTAAATTCGTAAACCGAAATTTCTCTGCTTTTCGAAATAATGGCAGTTTGAAGCATTTGACAAGTTATTGCAATAACTCCAATTTAAAATGAGCCTTTGTAGCTAAAAGATACTTATAAGACACATTAATAATTTCTTTTGTTGTATCATTTTTCACCAATTTCCTGATATCTTCAAATTCATTTCAGCGGAATCGAATATTTGCTACAATTTTATGGGTTTTGATAACAGGAAGAGAACTTTTGATCACAACGGTTGGTAAGTACTTTGACATTAATTGAACTTATTAAAAAATTCTTACAACGGATAACCTGTAGAAAGACGAATTAAAAACAATACATTATTATCTTTTATTATTTTACAGTAGGCGAAATCGATAACCATATTACACAAACCGTTTCGAAAAAGAGTAGATTTTAATGGTTCGGATAATTTCTGTTTCTTGCTGTATGAAAGGCATATGCTACTTAGAAAAAGGGAAAAAATAAAGGTATCATGCTCGATTATGTTCGATATGTTATATCAATATATTATTGACTTATTCCCCTCACTAACATCATGGAAAAGACAATGGAAAGACTCTTGAAAAATCAGTTAAACTGGTACCTTGAGAATTATAATCTACTTCCCATGCAGCAGGATAGTTTCCGTAAAAATAGATCAACAAATGATCAGGTGACTCTACAATTTTTTTTAAAGATATACTAGACAAAAAGAATACACTAATAGCTATCTATGTTGACTTCAAGAGCGCATACGATTCCATTTGGAAGAAGGAGCACTTACAGAAATTACTGAATTTTGGAGTTACATCCAAACGCTCTATTGGTCTCAATCTTTTCGTAGTCAAAGATCGCGTAGAGTAATATGAAAATGAATTTTCAAAATATTTTAACTTACAATTCTTTGATTTATACTATGTCTTTTACTTGCGGATGACTTAGTGATCTGGACCCAGGCACCGAAGAAAAATGCTAAGATCTTTGTTGAGAACACGCCCTACAAAGCCCTTAATGCACTTTCAGAATGGTCTAAAAATAAAAAGAACACACCAGAGGCTTTGTCCCGGTCTGAAATATAGGAACAACTACACTGCATATATTTATTTAGTTTATTATACCACTGTTTTTACTTATTTAGGTGTAACGTTTGACAAAAAAATTGCTTTGGATGTAGCATATCCTATCTCTTTCAGAATGGTTCTCAAAGAGACTGAATATACTGAAGTGCTTGGCAGGAGCTATGTGGGATAGTTCCCGCCGCGCTCTCTATATTACTTATGAAACCTTTGTATGGCCGCTTTTGACGTACTGTTGCGACCCACTTAGAACAATCTCAAATTTGTAATATAAAAAACTCGAAAGCTTACAGTACCAAGCGTTAAGGCTTATCATTGGGGCAGTGAAATCCAGGCCTACTGATAGAATTTTAATACTATATGAAAGCTTTCTAGACTGAGGATACATTTTGGAGAGATTATCAACTAAAAAATAGAACAAGGCCCAAGCTTCATTTGTTCAGAAGATTTTGTCCTATAGAGAAATCTATGAATTTCATGAAGAACTGCAACTGCTGGCAAAACCCAGAAATCCCATGAAACTGATGGGTTTAGAGGCAAACTTAAACTTGGCTCTATCCATATCAAAATATGAGACGTCCCTGGGATGTACTAAAATGTATTGCTTTGGAGATTATTGAGACTAAATATCCTGAAAATGAATGGCTGCGTATTCATACTGATGGATCACAGCCTTCAAGACATGAGAACGTTGGAGCTAGTGTTTTCTCGAATCATATTTTCCTTCTATGCACCAGCTGGAAAGTATGGTATTGCCTTTGCTGGTGAACTAGAGGCTATTCCCATCGCACTTAAACAGCTAACATGCCATCTGAGTAGATTTAAAAAATGTTGTATTACTGTCAGATTCACAGGCTGTAATTCAGTCCTTCAGTTCTATTCAGGCTCCATTACCATATGAAATTTATCTGAGTCAAGAACTGCTAATTTGAGGTCTCGGTATAAACGGGTTGTTTTCCAATGGACACATGGACATTGCAAAACAACATAGTTTACATGGAGACAACCAGGCAGATTTTCTTGCCGAAAATGGATGCCATGCTATTATTATTATTATTAGACTGTACAAAGCGATAAATCTCTTTTTTTTACTGCTAAACTATTTATAAGACAATTTATGCAATCGAAGTATCAGGATCTTACGCAAAATTGAAGCGAAATATGAAAAAATTATCTTTTAGATATAGTTGATAACAAAGTTGGGAGGCAATAGCTGCTTTTCGACCACTTACCGGGCATGTTTTTGCCTGGCTGCTCATCTGTGTCGTATTGTTGTTCTGACTGATGTTGCCTGCTCCTTGTGTGACGAAAACGAACCTATGGAAAACATCATCTGCTTGTCTGGCGGAGCTCCCCATGGAGATATTGATGCTCCTAGATACTGGAAGGCTAGAAGACTCTTCGGGGAATAACCTTCAGTTATCTTGTTGTTGTTTCTACGGCTTGTATTTGTTCTTTTTCTCTTATTACATGATTTTATTCTGTTTCAACTACTTGCTCTTATTTTGGCTTATGTGCCCCATCATTGGAAATAAAAAAGATGTGAACATAAATGTTTCTCACCGCTGAATTCGTCAAAGTGCATACGAACTGTGCTGTGAAATTCCCTTATGACTTTCTGTCACTGCGTTCTTTGAGGATTCATACAAAACAGTGTGTACATGCTACTCCTACTACATTATTCAGAGTTTGACAGAGAATTTTTGAAGAGTGTATTCCATAGCTGAAGAACAATTTGGGTAGGTGTAACATAAAACTGACTATTGATTTAAAGAATTTTGATTCATTGAAGGTGCATACATAATGAAATGCCTAACTTAATGGAGTATGCACAATTTTGTGTTTGATACTTGCAAAAATTTAAAAATATTTTTTTTCAAGTAAGTTGGTTCATCGAATATGACAAAGCACAAATGTGCTATATGCCTAAGGGGAGGGATGCTTTCGTGGAGCAGTTTCTAAAGGAAACTAGCTCATATTTACGTCACATATGGGGGGGAAGCTAACTATGCAGCGAGACAGTTTGCTTGGGATCGAACCCGTGTTGAATTCTCAATATTCAGCGATGACTTATGCGACTTGCAAGTAAGTAAAATCTGCTCCTTCTATTTGAAACTCGTCATATATCAAAGCGCATTTCGCATTAGCGACACTTATGAAAAATAATTTAGTACTCATAATTAATTAGTGTTTTTAAAATTAAACGCTTTTAACGGTGGCATGCCATCAAATGTTAAAAGTAATGTATAACCAGTTTGTATAATTTTAAGGGGACTCATACACTTTAAAGCCCCCATAAGATCTTCGAATATGTGACTGTTGCAAGAATTGAGATAACTTATTTATTTTAAACGCAATTACTTCCAACATTTTAACAGCTGACTACATAATATAACTGCTTTCTGAAATAGTAATCAGAGAGTTTGTGTTGTCACAAATATTTTTATAATTTAATCCGCTTTGCGACAAAAGTTTTCGTCATGTTTCCACCTTGCGCGCACACTTTAAAACATTCTGTTGCATAACTTAATTCCATATTTAATATATAGCTTTTATAACATTAGGAAACTACCGTGAACCAAAAATTCTAAGAATTTCATGTTAAATTTTTATTTTATTTGGAGTTGAGTTTATAAAATGTATTTTATTAAAAAAAAATCTGTAATGCTTTCGTCCATAAAATTTTTTAATAATGAAATATTCATCAGATTTTTGGTTCAGTTAGAAAATAGTGCCCATATAAAGAATTCCATTAAATTTCAAGTATGTACCATTAGCCATTTTTAATATACCGTGCGCGCAGGGTAGAAACATGACGAAAATTTTGTCACAAAGCGAATTAAATTACAAAAGTATTTGTGGCAACACAAACTTTCTGGTTACTAGTTTCTAAAGCAGCTATATTATGTAGTCAGCTGTAAAAAGTTGGAAGCAATTGTTTTTTAAATAAATAAGTCATCTCAATTCTTGCAACAGTCACATATTCGAAGATCATAAGGGGTTTAAGGTGTATGAGCCCCTTAATACATTTCGCGTTAAGAACAGCAAAATCTTTCGAAAAGTGTGGATGCTACTGCCAAAATTTCATAATGCAACACCAATTTAACAATCAAAACTAAAAATCTAGAAAACGTTTTATGTGAAACACCTCAAACTGTGAAATTCATTTAATAATTGGATGATTATAAATTGTAACCATTATTTAGCAAGCTCACATGCGTTTAGCCAAATATTTATATCTTTCTTTCTTTTCTTTTTTCAGTTGCTGATCGAAGTCATTGCGATTGCATGGACTATTGGGAATGCATAGGCTCAGGTGGCACACCTTATGCTTACTGTTCATATAGCAGTCAAGTATGTTGCTTTGTGGAGCCAAGTGCCGTGTCAGTAGGTATTCTTCCTAGGCGTAAAAAATCGGGCTCTTGTGGTATAAAAGGCCCGAACAAGGGAAGAGATGGAGTAACAGATCCAGGGGAATGGGCTTGGCATGTGAGTATTACATTACTATTCAGTCTCAAGTTTAGAGAAAATTGTTAATCTGACGGAAACTGTATTCGAATACCTGGTAGAGATGGGATGCTGATCAATCATTCGCCTAAGTTGTAGAGACATTAGGATTATTTTGGAAGCAGGCAAGATAAAAAATGAGCCTTCGCCTGGAATCGAGCCGCGGACCTCTGGAATACGCGCCCAACGTGCCAAGACCACCACACCACCATGCCAAGTAGGCGGGAGAAATACTTTATATATACACCTCCTTTTAAAGAGCGACTGGGGCTTTATTTAGGGTACCCATTCCCCAAATCCTGGGTGTGGAGAATCATCATCCACGACTCTTTTAGTTCCAGCGCCACTGTAGAGACATTAGGTAATTTGTTGGAAGCAGGCAAGATGAAAAATTAGCAACGCCTTCACCGGGAATCGAATCGCGGACCAATCAATTACGCGCTGAGCGTGCAGACCACTACACCACGAAGGCTTGCTAAAAAGGAAAGGCTTTTAAAGGGCGACTAGGGTTTTTTAAGGGAACCAATCGCCAAATCCTGGGTGAGGAAAATCCTCATCCAACACCGTTTTTAGTTCGGGCGCCACTGGGGCGACATTAGGATTATTTTGAAAGCAGGTAAAATGAGCAACGTCTTCGCCCGGAATCGAACCGTGGACCTCTGGAATACGCGCCCAGCGTACAGACCACTACACCACGAAGGCAGACCAAGAAAGAGAAATAGTGAAGTAAAATATTTCGTGAGAGAATGTTCCATACGTGGCTGGTTGAAAGGAAAGACGGAAAGCAACCTCTTTCGCATTCGACCTCGTAAGTATTCTTGATGGAAACTAGATCATAAAGTTTTTTTTAGTTCAACGTGGGCGCTTGCCTTTTCAGCATTGGCCACTTCTAAGGCCAGTAGTGGTGGCCCTTTTATTGTGGAGGCACCTAATAGGTGGCCACCGTTGCCTTCTATGAAGAGGCGGTCAGTTATAACTATGCTTTCTCCAGGATTCGAACCCGGACCCTTCTGTGACTCAGAAGGCTTCCCTAAGCGCTATACTGCCTGCGCGGTGAATTATATGATAAAGTAGAATGCCACGCAGTGACTATAAGTGAAGCTTCTGTGTCAATAATACAAATAAAATTTTCTTCTCTTGAATAATTTTAATGATATTAATAACATTGAAAATGCTCATAATATAATGATGCAAGTAATTAAAAATGACTTCATATGTTGTTGCATATATTCTATGTTTTTAAAAATTCTTCATGTTATATAATTCGCATTATTTTTCATTCTGATGGTCTCTTAATTTATTCTAAATTAATATCCTGAAAGTAATTTATTTTAAGTAACTGCTTAATGTATCCAAAACATTTGTTCGATGCTAAGAAATACGTAACGACATCAAATATTTTTGCTGTGGACAGAATAAAAGTTTTCATACAGTTTAGGCATAGCAGTTTCGTATTAATACATTGTAATACTATTATATTGTATTAAATTATTATATTGTATTAAATTATTATATTGTATTAATATATTTTATTAATAATTAATTCGATGTCCAACAGACAAGGTATGATTATGGCCTAGGCTGGCAAGTTTTAAATTTAGGACTTCATCTTTTAGCGAGGCCCCAAAATCGTCCTTTACATCTCAACCCTATTCTTATTTTTTGCAGAAGCAAATAAAACAGATTCTGAAGACACCTGAACGAGTTGTGTGCTTTGGGTCGAAGATTGGCATAACAAGGGGCTGGCGGCAAGTAAAGCCATTCATTGGTTTATAAGAGGAATTAATTTTTGTAATTGATTCCTAAAGCAAAAGTACATCCAAGAGCTATATAAATGATATTCGAATATTTATATCGTTACTAGCGGAAGTCCTCGATGCCAGTTAAGTTAGATTGAGAGAAATGTAATATTTTCCTTATGACATTATTTGAAAATTCGTGTAATAGCATATTACACGTCACAAGGAATATGATGCGTCATTGTAATCCATAACAAATGCCAAAGAAACAAAGTAATATTCAATACATGTACCACAACTGACTACGTAATCATAAAATCCTATCGTATATATACTCATATGACATATGGAATTGCCATTTGGGTCAGCAAACAAATACATCATTATTTTGAGCGATAATTTCGATAGAAATTTCACACATAAAAATTTCGATAGGAAAATAAACTAATTCTTTCCCATTATATCAGCAAAAATGGCACACAACTATTGTTGTTGATGTATCACTGTTGCATTGTTGCTGATATCAGCACTGTTGCCACTCAGAAAAATGGCGAAAATTAGCATTTTAAGAGTTTTTAATTAATATTTCTGATTTTAGCTATTTCTTTTTTTTTTTTTTTTTTTTGAAAAAAGTAGATGCCGACCTTTTCCAGAACCCAGTAAAAAATTGTAGAAAGTTTAGTGACGATAGCTGTAGCAAATACGTTACAATATTTTATGAACGTCTGGAAAAAGTATGTGTATTCCTACTTGTTCTTGTGCAATGTATTCATAAAGTAGGTTGACAGTTTGGCAAAAAGGCAGTCAAAACGATAAACTAGTATTTGTCAAATTTGCATGGAATTTAGCTCATAGCTATTTCCTTCCACACATAGATTTGTATAATAGTGAAATGTAAAGACAATGAAATTCTGTCCATATGCAAATGTAGAAAAAAGGTGAACCAAATAATGAGGTACTAAATTTAGTTCCTATTAGCAGAGTTCCTATCAAATATAAGCTGATAAAGTTTTGCCAAAACCGCCGTATATCTCTTACAATGAATTCTCACGAAATTAACGAAACTGGTGAATCCTACTACTTTGCAAAACTAGATTTTAACTTGGATTCTTCAAGGGTGGGGATGTCGAGAATAGTGACTACTTCATGCTGCGAATATTTTGCTCAGATAGAAGGGACAAAGGTCTCATCATTGAAACACTGTACGATCACATTGTATTTGTTGAAATCGATCAGTAGCGTATGAACATACAACATAATAGTAACCCATAACACGACACTTGCTCTATGATAATAGTTATTTTTAATTTTATTAGAAGGAAGGCAACATGCTAATTACTTTTCCAGATAAAAAATATGCTCAAGAAATGGATTGTACATGAAGTGTAAAAGGTAGAAGAACAAAACGAAGCCTAAACGATGCGTCCTAAATTAGTATTCAGGTATGTTCTATGCTAGATATCTATTCACAATCCGCGTCTATACAAGTTACACATGCGTAAACTATGAAAAACACCCGGGCAGCCAGCCCGTTCGCCCTGGAATCAAACCTATGTTTTAACTACCAATGTTCAGTAACTTTACCGCTCTGTGGTGGGCAGAGTCAAATCGTACCCTCTTAACTTTCAACGTCATGGCTTACAAAATTTGCCCGAGCATGCCGGTTGTTGAAGTATTCCAGTATTTTAGACTGCTTCATATCTGCGTTTGAAAAGAGAGCGCCACAAAGTATGTACTGGGTTTCTTTCCAATCATTAGTTATTCCGGTGCAGTGAAATAAAACTCCACGTAATCATTATGACATTTTCTTTTCTTTAACATTATAAACGCTAATAATAATTTAAGAAATATAACCTGAAATGTAGGTCAAGTAGATTAAAAGAAAAATATCAATATGTAAGTAATATAACATAAATATACTTACTATTTATTAGAGACAGAAAATGCATGAGCATGGTACGAACACAGAATGACTACGGAATGCGCTCAGACTAAACCTTTCGCCGTCCTCTCCTGTTCGCGAAAATTTCCCCCCAGCGGCCGTCTGTTTTTCGTAGCGTGTAATGTTGTTTTTTCTGTACATCATAACTTTCTATACATGACTTTCGTAGTGGATGAATGTCAATGAATATTATGTAAAATTATAAGGAAGTAAAGCATAATGGAAAAATAATAATATCTCTGCTTATTTCTAACAACAGGATAATTTGAAACCATCTGATGCAGACGGTCCACTTCTCCCATTTTGTTGTAATCTTTTACAATTATTGGTTTTTTAAAAGTTCCTTTTCGTGTTCCAACATCAATCACCGAGTTATTATGGACTGTACTCATCAAACGTATATCCTTCTTGCCTTTCTAATTCACAACCTCTTTTTTCTCTTTTTCTGCTGAGTAGACGTTGAAGCCTATCTCTCACTTTCCTTGTATCTTATGTAAAATGGCGCGAATATTTATAAAACCCGGGGTTAATTCAATTAGAAATAGAATGCCTGATTAGTGCTACCGTCTAGGAGGTATTAGAACAAACAAAAATAAAAACTCAAACAAGTAAACATTTAGAAAGCGTTTTAAACGTTTAAAAGTTTTAAAATGTAGAAAAACGCTTGAGGCGCGTTATGGCCGATGGGTGTAATTTTTTAACAACTATTTAATTCATTTAAACAAAACCTGGTACACTCTAAAATATTGCCTCTTATACCTGGTTGGGAATTCTTGATTTACATGATTACTAGAATTCATTTTATAGAGCTGTCTGATTGCTAGCTGGACGTGCTTTCCAATTACATCACGAAGACTTGTGGTAAAGAGGGAAAACATTCCTTACAAGTCATCTAAAGAAGAAACTTAAAAATATTTTTTCCTTCTTTTCTCATAGAACGGATTTTAGATTCATTGCGTGCTTTACTAGTAATTCAACTGGTATATTTGGATTGACTTGGAATCCAGAAATTATGCCTTTGATAAAAGAAGCATTTTACGGTACCTGTTTTTTTACAATTATTCTTGAAATTTTTATTTCCTGCTTCAATTAAGTAAATTTTAACAGAACTCTGCGATTATCTTCTTGTAGTACTTGCAGAAAATCTGGGTAGAAATTACTGTTCTGTAGAAATGTGAGTATATCAGCAACTAACATAACTTTGAGAGATTTATAGGAAACACGAGAAAGAATCAAAGTACGTTATCGTTTTATGCAGCATTTAGCAAAACGAATTGTACCTGAAAGTAATTGCGATTTTTCGGTTTGCAACAAGAGTATTGTACTTGAAGTAAAAAACATATTATATGAAGTCACAGAAATAATTGTGTACAAAAATTACCCTTTCAAGAGAAGCTTGATGCTAATATCGAACCTTTGGATTAAAAACTTCTGTTACAAAGCAAAGTAATTTTTTTGATTTCTAAAAATATCGCTGTAATAAAAAAAGTGGGATGTAAAAAAAGGGGAAAGGAAAGGGAAAGGAAGGAAAAAATAAAAATTAAGCAAGCAGGCAAGTAGAATATTTATTAACTGAAGCTGTAGATATCTTTGAGTTATAGAACCGGTAAGAATCAGCAATGCCCTTGCCGGGAGTCGAAAGCTGGGCCTTTCCATTGCAAGCCGGACTTGCTTTCCAGTTGCTCTATGAAGGCATGTGGAAAGGAGCGAGGGAAACCTTACAAGGTAGTAATCGATAAAGTCCTTTATACTGTATGCTGCTGATGACAATAAATATTTTCAAAGGTACTTGTGGATGTAGGGGTGCATATTTCTAGGTATTGCAACAATAGAGTATGCGAGTGATAATAGACCATGACATGTACCACAGATTTATAAACATAATCCAAAGCTTGAGATTAACAAATACGCTTCTTATTTTGACCAAAAGATATAATCCTAATCCACAAACAACCAAATGATAGGACTCATCTGAAGTATTCTTACTCCATGCAAACACAAAGACAGAATCATCTAAGTATCCCAGAAGCATCCAGCTATTCTAATACTTAAACCTAGGCCCAACAGCATAAAAACTTCCTGTGATAACCAAAATATTGAATGGCAATGGCTTCACAAGGCATATCATAAATTGTTTCTTTTCTTCTTCTTCTTCTTCTTTTTTTTTTTTTTTTTTTTTTTTTTTTTGTAATCGAGATATTCGTAATAAGTTATTCATAAATGATACTTTAGATGTTTTTGTAAACTTGAACTGAAATTAATCTTTTCTTTCTTCCTTTTAGGCTGCAGTGCTAGAAACTCCCCAAGATCTTTACATATGTGGTGCCTCACTATTAGACGAGTATTGGATTTTAACGGCAGCACATTGTGTGTACGAATAGTAAGTTAATTTATAAGTAGTTTGAATTTTATTATGTAAGAAACAAATGAAGAAACATTTCCAGTAAAAGAATTCAATTACCTTTCATGGAAACGAGGACATTTTTGTTTTTACGGAGGAAATGAAATGTTTAGCTCAGTATTTTTAAACGCTAACATCTCTGCTTTTTCATTTTGCTTTACTATGTCACAAACTGGAAAATCATGCATGCTCAAGTTGTTAGAAGAAACTGAGAAAGAATCAAAGAGTTTCTGAAGTAACATAATTTGGTAACTACGATAAACTACAGTTTTTTCCCTCTAATAGTTTTAGAAACATACAGTAAAGTTAGACAGAGTAGCGTTATTTAATCTAGGAAAGCATTCAAGATTTATTATAAAAATTTGTAACATAATTCCTACAACTGGGATGTACGCGAACAGAAAAATTGTAGAAAATTCCTTATTATTGTACACTGCGAAAAGAAAAAGGGGACAGTTCCATATCTCCCGTTCTACTGGGCCGATTGAAGAAATTCATCTTGCTTTTTCCATGACTCGAAAGCGCGACTTAGTATATGTATTAGATTTATACATAGCATTGTTCTAATGTAGGGATCTGAACCAAACTCGCACTTTTTCTGAAATGACATGCCCATTTTTTTTCAATATTTCAATTCTAGAACTCAAATTATGCCAAACTGCCAAGTTTTGTAAAAATCGCACGAGTAGTTTTTCAAAAATTAGCTCTCGAAATTTTAGCTCCTCAATGTTAATCGAATTTGATATATATTAATATCTCTTTTTTTATTAAACCTATTTGATTCTTCTTGTGATATTTCGAAATTTAAGTTCATTCCAAATAAATCTCGCTTATTTTTTCTGATTTATTTTTAAAATTTGTATTTTTAAATAATTTTTATAAATTTTTCGAAAAAAATCTGTATTATAATGTATAAAATTTTTATCCTCTAAGCGGCAAGGACGTATATATACGGCCTAGAATACTTTTTGCGACATCTGTAAGAACGTATATATACGTGCATATTAAAATATGTCAAAGAAATTAAGGCAATATATCAAAAGTACACAAATCCAGGTATGAAATACCAGGAGAGCTTTTACAGTAAAATAAAAAAAAAAAAAAAAAAAAAAAAAAAAAATGTTCTCATAATAGTTTTGGGAAATTTGTGCTTTCTTAGTGAAACCCTGGCCGCTCAGAGGGTTTTAAAGTAGATGTATTTCTAAGCATACCTGCAAAAAAAAAAAAAAAAAAAAAAAAAAAAAAAAAAAAAAAAAAAAAAAATAGAGTGTTTTATTCAAAATTTCCGAAGATATACGTGAATTTATATATTGGTGCGTTTTGAAATTTGGTATATTTTTGAAAGCGATAATAACATCAAATATGGTTTAGGCACTTGATTAAAATTATTTTAAATTAAAAACGATGTGACATTTTTCCCGCTCATGCGCAATGTAAAAAGCTAGGAACGCTGTGACTTTTCTTAGCTCCTGTAGAATGGAAGAGAAAGGAAAATAGGTTGCCATATTCGCCAAGTGAATTATTCTTTGCGCAAATTGAAAAAAAAATGTGCCAAGTTAAACTTTTAGATTGCTCCGTAATTTTCGCACCAAATTTTACAAACTTTAATATTTAGGCATTATTGGAGTCGTAGAATCAAAATATGGAAAAAAATTGGTATGTTATTTCAGAAAAAGTCCCAGTTTGGTTGAAAATACCTAAGTTAGAACAATGCTATATATAAATCTAATATATCCCAAGTCATGAAAAAGCAGATTAAATTTCGTCTTCGGCCCAGTAGAACGGGAGATATAGAACTTTCCCCCCTTTTTTAGCGCAGTGTACAATGTTTAAAATTCTTTATTATTGTAAATGCATTGCAAATGTTATTAGTTAGCAAAACGTGTAAACCTTGTCTGGTGGCAATACATGCTGATATGATCAATATGTCTTGGAGGCATGGGGATGTTTTATGTTGTCCTGTCGCACATTCTTTCAAGTAGTATAAAGCCGCTGCTCCAGATTTCGCCAAGAATTCTTCAGTTACATTTGAGGACGTACCTTGTAGCAGACTGCAAAAGATCTAAGAATTTGGTCGGCCAAAAACGGGTGTTAACATAACGCAGAAATTTTCAAGAGACTGAGATATTTGTGATCAGACGCTCTCATGACGAAAAATATCTTCTGGAAAATGTGGTATGCAAGACAGTGCAACATCTTATAGGATTCCCTGATTATATCTCTGTGTAATAAAATTGCTTCGCACAAGTATAGAGGGACCAGGTGCCGTACGAGATGGTTCTTCAGAGAATTACATTGGGAATTAACAGGTTCGACAGCAAACAGCGGTGGTATCGCTGTCCGGATCACTGCCTGGCACGAATAATTTGACAGCTGTCACATGGCAGCTGTATTTGGCAGATATGGAATTTGTCACTAAACATCATATGATGCCATTTTACGTCTCTTCACTACTTTCATTTAACGGACGATATGCGTCATATGAATATATATACGTCTATATGAATGTCAAAAGACTTTTAACGGGTGTTACACCTCCTGTTCTCTTCTACTGTTTGCCGATGATTCGTTAAGAAAGAAGATGCCTTACAACTAATGATAAGTTTCATTAACTGGTCGTTAAATGGAACATTTAGATTGATGGTAGCTTGTTGTAATATCATGCTGTCCTGTTCCATGATTGTTCAAAGTGAAAACCACCCAGAATCTTCGCTATATGTGTATCGACTTTCACGATCCGTTTCCGCTAACTGAAGTCTTCGCTTTCCCAGATCGACGAGCCAATCTGCCGAATGGTTAACCTGTTCACATTAGGATCCCTTCTGGAAACGTTCGATTGAGCATACGGTGTTATAGAGCGTGTTAGTGGCATCTTTGGTCGTAACTGATGATAAATCGCTTTAAATAATTCACTAGAAGATTCCCAACTGCTCTGGCGCAATTTGCATTCCAAGCTGCACTACAACTGAACAATGCTTTAGGATATTGCCTTTCAGTCACAGGATATATATGGCTATCAGATTAATATTAATAATATATCACAGGATATTTTTACCGCTTTAATATGAATACTTTTCAGAATTTACTTTTTAAAAAATTTATTCATAGGCACAGAAGAGATCTACAAGTTATTGAATTTTATGCCTTTTCTCTTTAGACGCAAATAATTATAGATACGTACATGTATTACGCTAAATAGGAAAACTAATTTGAAGGGTAAACTTTGAATTTTTTTTCTTTTCAGTTCATTGCCAAATGCTTTGAAAATCCGCCTTGGTGAATATGACGTTTCAACAACCAGCGAGCCTTTAAAGTATGAAGAGTATACTGCTTCCAGGATAGTTGTGCATCCGAACTTCGATAACAGAACGTTGTTGCATGACATCGCTCTTGTCCGACTTACTCGTCCAGCTAAAAGGAAAGCCAACATAAATGTAGTGTGTATGCCTCCTGAAGGTACAACTAATAACGAACTCGTCTCTTCAGCGCGTTGTTTTGTCACTGGATGGGGTAAATCTACTGAAAGTAAGTACATAAAATTTCACGATCTCTTTCTTTACCTCAATTACAAAAATGATTTTATACATTTGAATACGCACGTATTCTAGTATGCTATTCATCTAACCTTTTGGAAATTTCTTTAAATATAAGCGTGTGTAATCCTCGATTTCTCGAACATTCGTAAAGGGATTATTTCGTAGGAAGTATTGTTTTTCTAATTTAATCTGAAGGTTCGTAATTATGAAAAATTTAAATTGCACTAAAAGCCGTCAAAGGGAAAAAAGGATGATCAAATCATTTTATCAAAACTAGAAAAAAATTATAGAAATCTAGCATTCGTAAAGACCATTTGGAGGAAATTTATTGTTAAAATTTCCCTTAAAATTAATTCACAATTCCTTATTGGAGAAAACTGCTCTTTGCATGAACTTTTCACTTAGAATCCACTCATTATTCGATCAAGGCACATTAAGGTTTGCATTCTAAAGAAAAACGTTTGAGCAGAATGTTACCGCGGAATGTTACTCCATTACCGTTTTGATATTCTTATATGGACTGCTGCATGGTTTTTTTACTTTCATAAGGATCAAATTGCAATACGAAATGTATAAATGGAAAAGAAAACGTAATAGATAGTGTATTTTATACTTTTCTTTGGATAACTGTACATTCAAAGAAAGAACAGGTCCACCAGCAGACGAGGAGTAAAAATCGCTGAATACTGCTAATTCCGTGCGGGGATTGAATCCCGGTGAGAGCGGGTTGTCAGCATAGGCGTTTTCGTTGTTCCCTCCCCCCCATGCGTAATGTGGATACGAGTCAGTTTACTTTAAAAAGTCCTCCACGGGGCATTCTTTTCTTTCAGTGTAATGCCAAATGGCGGAACACACAATAAGTAAGAATTAAAAAAATGTGCAGGTGACTTAAGTATTTACCCCCCCCCCCCCCGAAAAAAAAAAAACCGGAGGAGGCGCAAAGTTATATTATTACTAATTATATTGTTACTAAGGAGAAGGTGTTAAAATATATAAGAGTGGTAATTATGAGATTAGCCTTCGCGGAAAAATCTGTCTGCAGAGCACTGATGAGTGATTATTGTATCCAGCTCCACATTCTTCATTCGGCAATTTTTTGATGGAACTAATTAAAGATCTTAAAGCCAAGAGATGACGTCTATGTTTCTGAAATTCCTGAGAAGAATGACAAGGCAAGTCTATAATTACTGCGTCAAGTAATTGAAGTTTGGATAATAAAACGATCTAGCCTTTGATAAAGTTAAAAATATATTGCGACATATATTTATATTAATGAACTTATAGTAACCCTACTTTTAACAGACGGAGAACACTCAGTGGTACTTAAAGAAGTGAATGTACCTCTTTGGAGGAACGACGACTGCGAGAGATCTCTTAAATTCCATTTTGGTCCCAATTACAGGCTACCTGCTACTTCTCTCTGTGCAGGCGCAGAAGGAAGGGATGCTTGTGATGTGAGTATCATTAAGTTGATGTGAGTCTTAATTATCATTAAGTTGTTAAAATGTGACCAATTACGTTTTACGTCACATTATTGTAATGTCTTTAGTAAAGAACTTTGAGACAGCATCCTATATAATCCCATCAATGGCATAATTTAGAATAATATTGTTAGAATATTTAATAGATTAAAAAACAAGTTTGTTTTCTTTATTGGGGATATCTTTAGAGGAGAAACATGAGCAACTGAGAAGTCAGTGAGACAATACCGACGTATCAAAGGAAATTAGCTTACCTCACCTTCCCATATATATATATATATATATAAAACGTATGTAAATTATATCTATAACAATGTGTGAAAGTTATTAGATGTTAGCGCGATTTTTTTTACAGATTTCAAGTTTACTCTAACAAATGCCTTGGCTACTATTTAGTCCCACACTTCTTGAATTAAATTTTAATAAATAATTGAATAAGTACGTAAAACGTCAGAAATGTAAAGAAACTTATAGTGTTCAGAATAGATTGCATTTACTCACACTATTTCTGAAATAAATTAACACGAATCGACCATGCGTGTCTACTCTGATGATCGAAGTATCTACAAATAGCTATAACTATATAAATCGAAAGATCTATCTGTGCTGATGATCGAAGTACCTACGTATAATAAGTATGCTCTTAACCGCAGGCAGCAGTTTTGCTTTTAAATTCCATTATAGTCATAAAAACAATAGTTTTATTTTAAAATATTATTTCAACTTGAACCCGTAGTCCTGTTACTACGTGCTTTCTGTGTATCAATAATTTCAAAAATATTCTCCATTTTGTAAAATTTACTAAATATCAAACTATGTGTCATTTCTCCAACTTCTTTTACGAGCTTGACGAAACTATTTTTTGAGAAGGTAAGAGCTGTTAGGATAAAAGAAAAGACAAATATTTAGACACAAGTACAGTAGAAGACAGGCCTTTGTCTTGTACTGTATTTGTGTCTGACTAATTGGCGTTACGAATGTATTCAATTTTAAATTGCTTTGACAGAAGTAAAACATATCTAAGAATCTTGTATGTATTTAATGAATCAGTTAAATAATATAAGGCAGAGTTTTATTTCTGTGTATTGTTTTCCCGTTAGTTATGTAGTTAGTAATGTAGTGTACTTTTATGCAAAAATATGCTGTACTTGCGGCGCATTTTAAATAACTTTCGCTTGTCGATTTGCAGTTCCTAAATAGAGTGCTTTGTTTTATCTGGTTGTTCGGAAAATAATGCAGGTTTTTGCAATTGTTTATGTTTCCTGTACACTTTTAGCAACAAAAATATTTGAATTACATTAGTTTATGTATAATTTTGAAGCTCTATTTTCGCTCTATATTTCTATAATAATAATTTTTTCCAAAATTATATTCAAAAATATTTACTAGGTGTTTTTTTTAGATGTCAAAACGGGATTTTCTGCAAATTTACTTTCATAAGTAGAAGCTAGGCCATAGCGCAGCGTAAACGGCTCGAAATGTCAACGAAGTATGGGGGCAGAAAAGTGTTAATGAATCTACAGTTCAACGGTGATACCAGAAGTTTCGTCGTGGAGAATTTGACCTGGAAGATAAGAGCATCGTGGACGCTCTTCAGCTGTTGATGACGATGATTTGAAGGCTTTAGTTGAAACAAACCCATGCATAACTGTTCGAGAACTTGGCGTAAGAAAAATAATGATTTCTGATCACTTTAATCGTATAGGAAAGTCAAAGAAGCTCGATAAGTGGGTGTCTCACGAATTGAAGCGAAAATAAAAAAAATCGCCGTTTTGAAGTATCGTCTGTTCTTCTCCGCAACAAAAACGACCTTTTTCTTGATCGAATTGTTACGTGCGATGAAAAGTGGATTCTCTCCAACGACTGGCAACATTCAGCTCAGTGGTTGGACGCGGTCAGACAACACAACACTTTCCAAAGCCAAATTTGCACCAAAAGAAAATTATGGTGACTGTTTGGTGGTCTGAGGCCGGTCTCGTCCACCACAGATTCCTAAATCTGAAACGGCTACAGCAGATAAGTACTGTCAACAAATCAACGAAATGCACCAAAAATTGCAACGCATCATATGCTCGGCATTGGTCAACAGAAAGCGGCCAGTTCTTCTCCATGACGATGCTCTGCCGGACGTCGTGCAACTGACCCTACAGAAATTGGATGAATTGGGATACGACACTCTCCCTCTTCCCCCACATTCGCCTGACCTCTCGCCGACTGATTACCATTTTTTCAAACATCTGGATAACATTCAGAAACCAAGACGAGGTCATAACGCCTTTGACGCGTTCAGAACTCCAGAATTATTCTACAGGCATAAATGAACTTCTATCTCATTGGCAAAAATGCATTGATTTGGCTGCTGCTTATTTTGATTAATAAAATTATTTTTGAGTTATGATACTTTAAAGATATAGGTTAAAAATCTGCATTATTTTCTGAACAACCTAATATCTCCCTTACTATGGAATTAATAATGAAGAAAATTCGTGAATTCTATTCTTAAAATACTTGTATTATTTTTAATTCGAAACAAACGATTTTTATATTCCTATAGAAATCGCTATATTTTCTTCGATTTTCAGTTCATTCGGATTAAAATCAGTTCTTTATCATAAAGAAAAAAATAGAATAGCAGGAAAAATAAGTATAAAAAATTTTAAAAAAGTCCCCTTTTTTTTTCTTTCTTTTTTTATACATAATACAAAGGTTTAATATTTGAGTATCGTAGAAACTTATTTTCATGAATGCAGAGCAAGAATAACAAAAACTATTTATGTATATTTATTATAAATAACTCCCTTAATTGTAAAGTGTAATATCATTGTTAAATTACTGGAAATATTTTTCTGTTCTGTAATAGTTTTACTACTTTTAAAATAACGTAAGTATCTGATAGCGCTTTTCCATAAATCTCCTTAAGGCACTTCGATTTTTCTGAATTCTGACATACGGTTCTTACTGATGTGAAATTTGGTCATACCTACAGTATGGTAAGACTCTCAGTACAATCTTTACTGTTTTCCTTCGCATACTGTAAAGCTAATATGTCCTTTTGTAGAGACATTAGATATTTTTTGGAAGCAGGCAAGATGAAAAATGAGCAATCGCCTTCGCCGGGAATCGAGCCACGGACCTCTGGAATACCGGCCCAACGTGCAGAACCACTACACCACGAAAGCACGATAGGAAGGCGGGAGAAATACCTTATACTTTGAGCTAAATTTTCGAACGAGAATAAAAACCTAGTAATTGTATAAAGTTATCGGGCTCTGTAAAAATAATTGTATAGACTTAAGAAGGCTAAATTTTCGTAAAAGAGGGAATTTGGAACCCTTTCCCAATAACTTGTGTTGGAAGGTTCTCGTACTTAAGGTAGCATAATTTAACTAACTGAAAATGCTAAAACGCGATAACCTGTAATAAAATAATACTTATAAAAGTTCTAATTAGTATTATTACTTTCACTTAGTTTCCAAATTATAAAATATTATTCCAAATTAAAAATAAACTAGATGGAGTTTCAAAAAGAAATAAGTGGATTTCGAAAAGCACAAATTAAAAAAAAATTGTAAATTTGACAACAAAATGTTTTGATATTTACAAATAACAATTACCTCTCATAAATAAAAATTGCGCAACGAATGATCAGAATATCATATTATGATTCGCATTCTAAATCTGAATTATTAAATACAAAATCTTTTTTGGGGCGGCAAATTTTAGGGAAGGAAAAGATAATAGTAATTGTTAAACCATCCCTAAGGGGAATTTCAGTATTCAATATGAAAATAACAATTCTAGAAATTTTTTTTTCGACTGCACTTTTTTTATTCTACCATATGCCAGCTGTTTGAAGTTATCTTCATTAACTTATAAATTTCTCGTGGAGTATTTAGGGAATAACCTATTTAAATCTGCAAGAGAATTTCTCTACCTTCTATTAAACTCATATAATTTGATGTTTAGATTTTAAAATAAGCATTCAAGAAAAAATTACTGTGAAAAAACATGCATAGTTAAGATCGAAGTAAATTTCGAATTATCGTACCCTCCCAAAACGGAAATACTTACCCAGACGGATAAAGTAAGTAAAAGAGAACGTAAAATTTATTAACAGCAGTAAAGTGATTTAGTTAAAATTTGAAATAAAAAATTAATCAATAAAACCAAGTGACTGAATCCAGTAACTGGAAGTTTAAACCATAAAACGTCATTACATAATAAACGTCGTAACAGCGTAAAACGTCAGTTACATTTGCTTAAAACTGGCGTTAAAGAAAATACAGAACAATACCAGGCCAAAACATAAATGTAATTCACAAAAAAATTTGCTTTTATCCCTTTAAGAAAATACTCTCATAATTATAATAATATTAATAGTCATTAAATAACTGTAGCTAACTTAGTCATTAAATATTCTTCATATCGCATAACGTATTTTCACATTACACTAGTTATAACGGCAAAACATGAAACTATAGATTTTATTGTAAAGTAGCCTTTTTTATAAAATATATATATACGTTTATTGTTTGAATAGACGCTTTTGGAAAACCGTCGGGAGAATGATTTAATTTCGGATGTTTCGGTAATGTATGCGAGATGGAGTAGCGTTTACGTTCTGCGGGCCTTACGCTTCTCGCACGCGCAATACACATTTTTTCAGCACGGCGACCTTCATCGATTGGCGACGAATGTAGACTTCAGGCAGGCATTATAAATTGCTGCGAAGTGTGTGTGTGTGATGTGTTTTTTACAAAAAAATAAATGTATAAAAGTATTCATATTCCAAAAGATAAATGTTCAATACTGTTTTCATTAAGAAGCACTGATTTGTTATTCATCTAAACCCAGAAATGTGGTCATTTACTATATTATACCTATATTTACTGTTATAATATTCCTTTTAAAATTTATTTGAATTCATATTTTTCACAAAGACATCTCTCATCTAAATAATTGTTGAGTGCTTT